ACTGTTCGTCTGTTTATACACTCACTTCCGTGAGAAAGATGGCAGCGTAAAGGTGTTATTGTTTCTCCAAAGATTCCGGCAGAACTTTACGTGAGTGAGTGAAAACATCAACGCAGGCATAACATTTGATAACGGCACAAAAGCATTTGTAATCAAACTTTCTAAGGCCCTTTACACGCGAAACAAAGTACGCCCACGCAAACCAACAACATCATCGGATAGGGGTAGAAACACTGGAATAAGAGACCAGCGGAGACACTGTTATGATTCCAATCGAACTGTCAAAAGCGGTTCCAATCTGCAATGTTTACAAATGGTTTGCTTCAATTAAGGAGGAGTATTAAAATCCTTTAACAATCACTCTTGAACTCGTCGGTGCATTAGCGAAGTCACTCGCAAACAGTTACAAATGCAAGTGATGCCAGGATTGCTTTGATGTTTATCTTGTTGCCAAATTTATGTTTTTTTTCTCCGCTGGTCTCTTATTCCAATGTTACTAGATAGAGGCAACTATCACCTTTGTGGTATTGTAGAGATGAACTAGCCTAAGGCTAAAAATCTCTTAAATAAAGAATTAAAAAAAAAAAAAACTTTGTGGTATTGGTTTGTGTGGGCATACTTTGGTTCACGCATAAAAGGCTCTAGAAAGTTTGTTTACAAATGCTTTTGTGCCGTTATCAAATGTTATGCCTGAACGTATACAGCCTTCTCACACGCATATTCGACGTGGATGTTGAAGTTTAGCCGGTCATCGATAATCACTCCCAGGTATTTCAACACACGCTTTGAGGTTATGGTGTGCCCCTGACGGTGATATCTGCCCGTTGTACCGCTTTACAGTTACTGGCCAATAGCACTTCCGTTTTGTGGTGGGCTATCTGCAGCTTCGCTTCTTGCATCCAGTTACTAATCATGTCGATCACCTCGGTCACCAACACTTCCACCTCTTCCAGCGTCTCGCCTGTTACCGTCAAGACGATGTCGTCCGCAAATTCAACGATATCAACTCATTTGGGCAGCTTCAGTGTTAGCACGCCGTTGTACATCCCGTTCCAGAGCGTTAGACCAAGGATGGAGCCTTGTGGAACTCCCGCTGTGATCCTAATCGATCTCTGGCCCATGTCTGTCTGTCGACTTAACTGAAGCAAATTTCAATAATGATGCGCTGATGCACTTCCCGTATTCGCATTTCCAAAATGTGTACATTATTATTTTACCAAATTTTAAAATAATTGACAAACAGACGTAACTCTTTGAAAAAGTTTTTCTTGAAAACACAGTATCACAAAACATTGCACCTCAATAACGCCATCTCTCGGGCTTCTCGCGGAAACAAGCTTGCTCACTAACTCGCCAACAATATTGCATAAAAGTTCTATAGAATGTATGGAAACGTCAAAGTGATCCGATGCTTGCGCTTCGGCGAGTAGTTCGCGGAACTGATAATATTCAAATCAACCGTTAAATGCGTGAACGAAGATACACAATGAAGAGTTACGTCTGTTTGTCTGTGGAAAAAGTAACCATTAAAAAGTAGAAAAGTCTGTGTGGACCGCTAGTGGATGGAACAAATGTGACCATTTAGTTCTTTTAATTGATCAATCATCAATTATCTTAACTCTTTCCGTTTTTTATTTGTAAGCGTATCAAATTTGTAGTATTTATTTCAAAGAGAAAGTTGATGAAGAGAATCCAAGGGACTGTCAACTTGAGTGTTTTCGATTCATCTACCCGACTTTAAAGGTGTATTTTGAATTTTTTGTTATTTATGAATTTTTAAGTTTTGTGCATTTTGGTATTAAAGTGTATTCAATTCACCCCTCACAGGATTTCCTTCCGAATTATATGAATGGGGCGTGGCGGAAAGTATCGTTTGTGCAGAATATGTAAAAAAGGAGGGACTTCGAGAGATTGAACTCGTGAGAGCTAATTTTCTCACAAATTTGATTTTATTGACTTTCTGGGGACTGAATATACACCCAAAGCGAATTATTCCCACTTCTCTCAAATTCTATATGGATTTTTAACACTGCCTACCAGCGTACTCTGGTAAATGGTCGGACGATGATTAATCTCACCAATACATTCGGGTCTACAATGCCACACCTTATATAGATACCAGGTTGAGCCTTGATGCTTGCGTCCAAATAATACTCTTAACAAATGTATGGTGTTCCTGAAAAAGACCGTTTTGTAGTGATAGTTGAGTAATGCTGAGCTGGGCACGACGAGCTACTGATTCCAATCCTAGCCTACCGGTGGGACTTCTTCCTCCTTCTCTATGGTTGCTCATATGAGCTCTGCAGCTCGCTGCTTGCAGGCAGCCTTTCGTTGTTGTTGTTGTTGAAAGCACTCATGCTGCTGCTGCTACTACTACTGCTGTTGGACTGGACACTTACGGTGATTGAATGAGCACCATTCAGTGGGACCGCATGGAATTCGATTTTTAAGTCTGTGTTAGGGAATGCGCTGTTTTAAGACATTCGGTGATAATTTTGATCACCATTGCAACAGTTGGACATTTGGTATTTTTCAATAATGGCCTATTGAAAATTAACTTAGTGTTCATTTTAGCAGATTGGTAGATACATTTCCAATCGTTTGGCTTGTTTAGAATTAAAATCTATCTGCTATTAGTCGAAACCTGACCTCTTTTCGTAATGCTATGCATTTTGGTTTTTTTTTAAATTGCGTGGATTCTATAGATCCTGTAGAGAGAAACATGTAAAATTTACGGGAGACGATGTCTTAACACTCGAACGCAATTTTGTGAAATATGAAGTAAAGCAAATCCTAGCTAGTTCTGCATGATGATTTTGTTTGATTTTATTTATTTGTTCAGTCGCCGGGAAATACCAGCTGGCGATTTGTTTTTTATGATAACTCCTTACTTGAAAACAGACAAAAACTCACAAACAGGCTGCTTTTTCATGGTATACAGTGTGATAATTCCATAATCAAAACATTATCTCAACATATCATTCATAAATTTTGATAACATACAAAAAAAATTCTATAGTCCACATAAAATTTCATATGTAAGCGCCGATCGAAACAATTTTTTTGACGTCACTACAAGGGTGACTGATTAAACGAAAGAAATTGTTGATAACTAGTTGCTTGCGGGAACTGATGACCTTGAAAAATGTCCAAATAATACTCTTTAACAACTTTTTGGTGGCCCCTGAAAAGGACCGTTTTGTAGTGATGGTTGAGTAATTCTGAGCTGTGTGTTCAACACGGATGAGGCTGTCGAGCTGTATGTCGTTTGGAGCGAGGGTGACACGCTTGGTATAGATGACCGACCCGCAGCGACTCACGAAGAGCTACTGATTGCGACCCAAACCAAGCGGTGCAGCTTCTTCCTCATTTGATGGTTGCTTATGTGGGCACTGCAGCTCGCTGCTTGCAGGCAGCCTTTCGTTGTTACTGGAGAACAATTTTCAACGCCACACGCCGAAAGCACTGCTACTGCTGCTACTCCTGCTACTAACTTCGACGACCGAACACCACCACCACACAGTGGTGTGGTCGTTGGGAGCGTGTGGTTCGGAGTATGGCGATGAGTGTGCAAAATATTCCACAATTCCATCCTCCCTATTCGCACGCGCCCGAGGATCGGAGGCGAATGCCACTTCGACTTGTTTCGTCTACTTACTACTCTCTGACGACTGTGTTGGGGAAGCAGCATATGCATGTAGGTAATTGGTGGATTTGTTAGTTAATTCGGCGCTTTTGAACAATGCTGGACATTCACCAGTTTTTCAATAGTTTCTTATTGAAAATCAACATTTGGAAGCATTATTATCGATGCGTAGCCATATTTCTGATCGATTGGTGATAAAATTATTGAAATTGGACCAGGGGCAGCTGAGTTATTAACGTTCAAAATCTTTCTTAATTTGTTACATGTTCCATTTTCGGTTTTTACAAAGTGTACCCCCATATAGAAATCAAAGACGTGGTCCTGCGTCAAAAATCTTTGTATGCAACAAACTAACAACCAAAATCTTCACCGCGCACCGGGGTGATTCTCATCGGTGAAGCTAACGAACTCTCTACGGTGCTCCCTAGTGATCACTCATACGCTGCGGTGTGTTGGACTGGTGGAGGTGCGAACGTCAGAAACTGTATTTGTTTGCGCAGTGGGAGAAGCGGTAGCAAGTGAAAACAAAATAAAAATCTCTCGGGTGAGTTTGCTTTTGTCATAGTGCGAGGTGTCTTTTCAACTCATCACCCTGCTTACACTAGGGAAAAAGGCATCCCTGCCGGGCCCCCAGAACCTAAATCCGGCAGTTCAAATAACATCTGCACTTGAAGCAATCTGATCAGAGATCTACAAAACCACTAGGAACAACTAATTCAAAGTTGGTTGGAAATGCTATCTAACATGAAGCTTTAGTGTGATAATTGATTGGCTAGAGAATTGTCTGAAGAGGGTAGGTAGATAGTACGGCAGTACGATAATTGAATAGAAGTTGAAAATGAGCGAAGGGCCATTAATGCGACAGTACTAGTCAAACGCACACTTCTTTACCTAACTCGTACAATGTTAGGACGAGTTAGGTAACGGAACATCTGCCTACCCTCTTCAGACCATTCTCTAGCTAATAAATTATCACACTAAAGCTTCATGTTAGATAGCATTTCCAACCAACTCTGAAAATCGTAAACTTCACGTATGAAGTAACATAAAACACTTTGAACTTATTCAAGCTTACGGGCTTCGACAGAGAATGTTTTGTTCTTCTTCAATTTATTGCTTTACAAAATTCAAATGATTCTGAGAATAGAAAATAGAAAAAAAGTATTCCAAGATCTTGGATAAAAAAAATCAAGATTTTAAGAGATAGCAAATTTTCGACGCTCTGGGAGTTGGAAATAATCGTTATGGGTGGGTTTAAGTCGGAGCATGTCTATTTCTGGACGTTTCATTCAACGAGCATTCCTAGCTTTTCTCCAGACAACTCAGCATTCCCCAATCAAATGGCCACACCCACCTTCTTCGTCCGTTTGGTCGTCTCTCGTCGTTGAGTGGTTGCAGCCAAATTTGAAGCACTGCTCCCGTCTCATCTGGCCTCTTACGGAACCTGGCTGGTCTCAGTGATTACACTTCCATCGTCGTATCTCGTCGTCGTGAAGCTGCAGGATGATAATCTCTTTCAGCTGCTGTAGCTCAATTACGCTGGTGGCTTCTTGCTGCTGCTGCTGCTGCTGTTGGTGGTGACAATAATGGCGATGGACGCTGATGGTGTTGAAGTTGTCGTTGTTATCGTTGTTGCTAAAGCCAGGCCAGGATGGTTCCATCATGCGGCTCCCCAAGCTCGTGGACTCGATTTCGCGATTCGTTGATTACACGTTGATGGCACCAAGAACGAAATAGGTGCCGATGCCGCTGGTTCGAAAATCAAGATAATTAAAGCCAAGGCGAGTGATGCGATGGGTCATTTCTCGAGTTCCCGGGAATTAATTGTCGTGGAAAGTTGCAGCCCTCGCATTCAAACGAGCATGATAAATGAATGTAGATTGAAATGTTTTCGGGATGTGTTTGTTGGCTGCTGGAAAATGGAGCGCCGTTTTTGCGTCGGATGGTCGGTCGACGGTGGCAGACTTGGTACTTGGTTTTGGATGGTTTTTACGATGCTTTCCACTCGAGTGTGGTGCTGAAGCTTCTGGAAGGAAAGCAGAGAAAATGAAAACCGGTTTTAAGAGGGTGAAATTAGAGTTGGCTGCTTTTACATTTGTGTGCTTATTTTTCGGATTGTAATTGTTTGCTTCTGCACGTAGTTTACGGAATAATAATTTTCTCAACAGCGGGTAAACAAGAACAGTTGGAAGAGTTGTTGAGAGCTGCTGTTGGCTTCTAATGAATGAAGTGCTGAATATTCAATGGAATGGTCTCGAGACTCGTTCTCTGTACTAAAGGCTGACTAAAAGTAAATTGGTACGCACAAAAAGACCTGTAATTCGTGAGTCAATAAGTTTAAAAAGTCCATTAATGGTTGCTTTACAGTACTTTTATTAAAACTTCAAAGTTACAGCATTAGATCGTTACATTTCTCCAGTTCAACAAAATCTCGAACCTTTCTCTTGATGGAGCCCATCAGTGCCCGTACAGTGGAAACGGCCACGGAATCAGCGCATTTATGCAATTTTACCCGCATTTGCTGGATGTCCTTGACTGCCCCGCCGTTTCGTCGAAGACGCTGCTTTGAAATTGCCCAGTATTTTTCGATGGGTCGAAATTCCGGACAATTCGGAGGATTCATTAGCTTGGGGACAAAACCGATCTTGTTGGCAGCATACCACTCCAGAACCACCTTGGTGACTTTGCCCCTATGCTTGCGGATGAACGGCCAATAAACGCTTTTTCAGGCATTCTTCGATGTCAACTTGGGATGTCATCGTCGAGGATGTGACGAATGGTTCCGTTTTCAGGCCACAATTGCAAATCGCTTGCAATTGGAAGCTGCTTAAGGTGATACGATACGTCACGCTTTTTTTGCTTTTTTTCTCTCGTTTCTATGTGTCAGTGAAATGAGTATCATTGATGCTGTAGGGGTGTGAGTGGACATCATGCACTGTCGCAACTACCGTAAACATAGCTGCTAGAGTTCGTTATTAATATGTCGAATGTCTAGTTATCATCTAATATTGACACCATTACTACATTTCTATTCAATTTGCCAAAATTAACGATCTACCACCTCCCAAGGACATCCCTTTCTATACAGAAAAATATCATACGCCTAGTCACCAAGGACAACCAAGTCAAGTAATCATAGTAGTTGATTAATTCAAAGCCACACTTTGTACACTTCGGTTACACACGACCGGTCCAAAAATGATTCCAGCACTCAAACCTCCAGGTACATGGTAAGAAAAAAGTACCCAAAAGTAAGTTATTTTCACACATCTCGACACTTTATTGCAGGAAGCCAAAAGTAGGCAAAGTGAGTCAAAGTAGTTTTCATTTACTTGTATTCAAATCTTATGGTATTGAAAATTCGCTTTCTACCCAAAAGTAAGTCAGTTATACCCAAGAGTAGGTGAATATGATTGTGATAATACTCAAAGTCAAAAGTAGGTAAATGTGAACTGGCCGCTAGATATGTTTTATCTTATCGTGAATGTTTATGTTTTTACATCATTCTTTTCCAGCCTTTTTAATATCAGCTGATGGCTTCGACCAGTGCAACCATAATGACAAATATGTTTTCTATAGAAGATTTGTAGGTTTATTTACGTCCATTTCTTTTCTGGAAAATCAAAATAAGAAATTGTTTTTAATTTGTATTAGTGACGGTTTCTAAATTGAACACAGTTGAAGAACCTTCAAAAGCAATAAAAGCATTGTTTTTACACACTTTGTTTCAATTAAATCGACAACACTGGATACGATGGTAGATGATTTGTACACACACCTTCGTAATGTGATGTGTAGAAAAAAGGTAAACAAAACAGTTTCAGCTTGAAGAATTATTCGCGGCTCGCGTTTTTAGCGATGCAAATGATATTACTTAAGTAAATATCGTCTTTAAAAGTGCATTAACTTGAAAGTGCTTGTAGAAGCACGCGTCGTAATTGTTTTTAGTGTGGTTCTGAGAAGTGAAAGCTAGTGAAAACAGTTATTTAAATTTCACGCCCAGAGCAGAAGAAAATCAGCTGATCGTACTTTTTAATGCAAATATTACCAATGCGTGAATGAATTGGTAATATTTTTGTGGAAAAGTATTGAAATATGTATCCAGATCTTATTCATACAATTCAGGCCCATTTTTTAAGGTATGTAGTTAGTAATTTATTGTTTCGTAGGAAGATGTCTTTCGTACGCATACCAAAACACGTTTATTTAATGATTGTAGGGACAGCCATTGTTGCATGACGTGCCGTATCACCTTAAAATCGAGTTGGACGTATGTTTTGTCATTGATCAAAGTGCAGCCCTTGTGTTTCGTCAAAACACGGTCGTACAAAAGCCTTGCACGCTTTTTGGTCACGGAATTCTGCTCTATGTGCCGGTTCGGATGTTTACTGGCTTGTACCTTCTGACCACATCTCGGATCGAAAGAACGGGGTTGGCTTTAACGCACCTCAACACCTTGCTGCCCAGCTGACGATCCCTGGTTCCAGTTTTTTCGTAGGTCCGCTGATTCCTTTCCACACTCAGGGTTTCCTTGTAGGTTTTGAACACTCGACAATTTATTGTTTTCGGCATCTTCAGTACTTTGGCCAGCTTGGAACCGGACCCCTCCGGATTTTCCAGGTGTGTTTGTGCACACCTGTTCACCCTTCTTTCGAGCTCCATTTGACGTTATTTCTGAACGCGGTCGACTACTTTGATCAAACTTGCACCAGTTGTTCTCTATAGAAGTGTAAACAAATCACTGTCAAATATTTTCGATTCCCACCACTAGAGGCGTGCTAGCGACGCGTGAGGGGCGTACCATTTTACTTTTGGTCAGCCTTTATTATTAGGTCGAAAATCTATTTAATTTGATCGAAATCACTTTATGGTGACGGCAACGTTACAATCATTTCCCATAACCCAACGATGCCACCCAGGTGATTCCTTTGTTCATCCATGTTTCTTTTGTACCTTGCACTTTGCACAGCATTCTTATCCCAATAGCCCTCCAATTTGTCCCTGTCCCTGTCCTCGAAATCCCTTGTGTTTGCGGTCAACGTGGGATGTCGATATTCGGACGAGAGTATGGGTGTGCTAGATGTGCACTATCAGACAATATTGATTCAATGTTATGTGACTTTTTACTCGCAGAGCAGAAAAGCTTTCAAATACATGAAATATCCACTCTCGTGACAAGGCGGTCTTGGACACCGAAAAACGTGTGCTGTGTACATTTGCTGTCGTTCTGTTGTCTATCTGGACCGATTTTGGTGCAAAGAGAAAAATGGTATAAGTACCTATAGGGATTTCATTTTGATTATGTTGCAATTTTCCTGCTATATTTCCACAGCATCCGATACCGGTTGAAGTGGGCTATCAAGATTCAAGAACACCTGACTTTCTCATGTCCCATGAGGGCCCTCAGCTCCATTAGTGTTCCATTTGGAATTCAATTAACCCTCTCACCGTCGGTACCGTCCCACCTGACGTGACTTTTGATAGCCTGAATAGCAGGAAATGGTCTATCAATTATCACCGTACATTCATTGGTAAATGGAGTCCCCTTTTTATTTAATATAAATATCTTCTAAACAAGCGGTCAAAGTTGTATAAAATTGAAATCTATATTCAGAACCACACACGTTCTGGGGGTAGTACTCGGGTGTCATGCTGGGGATCTGCTCTCAAGTCAGAGTTCATTTTCGCTCAATATTCAGCACAGCATGAAGTATCAACATTGGAAAAGAGGGCAGTTTAGCTGGGATGTGTCGGCGAACGTGAGTCGCAAATTAAATCCGTCATATGTCAATCAACAGCAATATGACCGACACGGGACGTGCTTTCTCTCACTGTTGTAGCGTACACTCAGTTGTGTGATATATATCTGCAGAGTGATGTCCCTTGGCACGTGTTGGTTATTGAAATGAAATTTGGTACTTCGACACCGTTGATCCAAAAGTGTATACAGGTCAGCTGTGTTTTTCATGATAGCTTTAAAATTGATAGCACCAATGTGTTCCACAAATCCACTGAATCTTTTAGGTAGGTATTTAAATTGATAAATTGGTGTTCGAAAAAACAGGAAATGCAAGGACAAGGAATTTGAAGCAAGAAGAGCAATTATGGTCAATATAATAATTTTACAGAGTTTCATCATAGTAAAAGACCACTAACTTTATTCCGCTCTGAATGATCGTATAACTGAACAATTTGCATACAGTCCTGTTGTTTAGATCTTCTAGGATAAACCTATAACTATCCTTTGGAGGTGATTCGTAACCTGATCTCTAAAATAATCAAAGACTAAGCCAAGTGACGAATCGACCAGACGCGACCTCAATTAGGCGTAACTACCCAACAAACAATTTGGGTTTTATGCGGGTTCTTTAGACCATGATTTAGACTTGTAGAATGCTATAAAACCTCTATAAAGCTTGAAATGTTACTTGGGCGGGAATGACCCTAGCTGACAAGACATAAACCATCTGAAGTATGGGTAGGGAGATTACTATATCCTATTACTTTGCTTATTTACGGGTAAAAGTTTTAACAACTATACTGCCCATAATCCGATATCAGTCCCATATGGAAAAGAGGGCATTGAGAAAATTCCCATGTAAATATTTGAAAAATCATAGTAAAATATTATTTTTTCAAATTGAAATCAGTTACTATGAATGTTTTGTTATATGATCGAAAAATATGGCGATCCAAACAGCAGAACTGTAACTTAACCTCTGGAGGATCGAATTTCAGGATGGGACTGAAATGCGATTACTTTGCTTGATGAGACAAACTGATTTTATGTTGTTTTCACATTTTTTCAGTCGCTAACGTTGTTATCCTAAAATAAACGAAAATCCATATAAGACTGATATGCGATTATAGGCAGTATATTCATTGATCGATAAAATTCTCATGGGTAATACTTCCATACGTTGATTATGGAATCCGAGCCGCACAGAGGGTCATAAGGGTATCGGCCACCGTAGTAGTTTTATCAGTGGTCGTTTACCTTGTTTGATTCCGTAACGCTTCACCACT